CGTGGCAAGAGTATTTCGAGTCGGGCCAGGGCCGGAGCAAAAGTGGCAGGCCAGGTTAGAAAGGTCCTGTTGCACGCTCGCAAGCCAGCCTTGGAAGGCAGCTTTTTTGTTTATCAACTTGCTGTTCTACCAACTCAACATTGTATCATCTCAGGGGACGCCGGACCCGCTCTCCAGCAGGTGCAGCTCCCCACCAGTAGACTGGAGCCCCCTGCAAGACAGGGGTAGGAGTGCATGCTCCTATCATCACTCCGATCTGCTGTCTAGGGCGGAATTTTCTAAAAAAATGAAAAAGAAAAACCTTAGGCAATCATGTGAACTGGTGCACTCCACAGCACAAGTTGATCCCCCATCCATATCCATCCTCCCCTCTACTCAAAGAGGGAAGATAGGGGAGGCAAGAGGGGTAAGGAAAAAGGAGGATTAAGGGGGAGGGGACATGGAACAAAGGGATGGGGTGAAAAAATTTCAAAAAACAAACAATCGTCGCCCTAGTGATGCATGCAAAAAGTGGTTGTGATGACACCCGTGCTCAAGAACAAAGAAGAAGAACAAGGAAGAGCACTGTCAGGCCGGAACAAGAAGCGATGCAAAGTGAGGAGCGGAATCAATCAGAGTTGTAGCGTGTTTTTTTTTTTTTTTTTTTTTTTTTTTTTTTTTTTTTTTTGAAGACAAATGCTCCAATCTATTCGTGCGGAGCAACACGTGCTGGGAACCGGGCCCAGCGTCCCATATGGAATTATACAAATGATTTAATGATTTGAAATACCAGGGCCGTTACCTGGCAGGCGGCCAGGCGAAACCGGTCGGGTCACTTCTGCCTGACGGAAGCTTGTCTTTCATTTGTGTTTCGTGATTTATCTATCAAGTCGCGCTCGGGAACTCTAGTGTCTACTCTTCTTCTTTGACCTCCTTCGTTCTTCTTCGTTCTTCATTCTTCGTTCTTCTTCTTCTTCTTCTTCTTCTTCTTCTTCGCTTCCTTCTTCCTCTGCTCTCTCGGTTTGGTTCACTGGTTGTTGCCTTGCCGTATGCCTCAGTGTGTGGGTACTTGTTAACTCCATCTGATGTGTCCTTGTTGACATACGTTACCTGGCTTCGGCTAAGAATAATCCGAGAACTATGAAAGAAGAGTTCAAGAAAAGTTCAAGAAAACATGAATAACTGCTAACCTGCCGACCCAGAAGTCCTCAGATGTCCTCCGAATGCTCAGAACGCCTGGAATCCCCAACAAAACACTAAGATTCTCTAACACTGTCTTATTCCCTGCCGATCTCTCCCAGGCGTCATACCCCCACCTTGCTAGGTTACAGGGCAACACGACTCACCCCAGCTCTGGCCAGCGTCGTCCCTACAACAACCCTTGGTTTTCCCTTGGAATGCCCGACCCAAGGCATGATCCCCAGACTCTCTACCATGCCTCACACTCCTGTTAGCGACAGGTTACAGGGCAATCCCCCAGCATTGGCCAGCGTCGTTTTGGCATCGAAAAACCGCAGACCAATGAACATAACGCATCAAAGAAGCATAAAATGACTTGCAAGGAGTGGGGCAGGTGAGTTCGGTGTAGCGTTCGTCATAAAGGCAAACACACAGCGCGTCAGTCCATTGAAAATGAACACACAGAGATTCACACAGAGAATCG